ATTTTGTGTTCCGTACCCGAGTTCTAGAGCAGCTAGCAGTGCTCTATAGTCGTGTCTGTCGTCTGCTGACAACTGTCTAATTATTTCCAGTGGTTGTCCCTTCAAGCTCGTTGCCAGATATACTGCTTTCTGCTCCTCTGTCCATCCATTCATTTCTGCCAGTAGCTCAAATTGTGCTATATATGCTTCCCACTATAGTGTGACAGGATAACATAACAGACATTATACAGTAGACTATAGTGTAATAGGATAGCATAGCATAAATTATACAGCAGACTATAGTGTGACAGGATAACATAGCATAAATTATACAGTAGACTATAGTGTGACAGGATAACATAGCAGACATTATACAGTAGACTATAGTGTAACAGGATAACATAGCAGACATTATACAGTAGACTATAGTGTGACAGGGTAACATAGCATAAATTATACAGTAGACTAGAGTGTGACAGGATAACATAGCATAAATTATACAGTAGACTATAGTGTGACAGGATAACATAGCATAAATTATACAGTAGACAATAGTGTGACAGGAAAACATAACAGATATTATACAGTAGACTATATTGTAACAGGATAGCAAAGCATAAATTATACAGTAGACTATAGTGTAACAGGATAGCAAAGCATAAATTATACAGTAGTGTATAATGTCTGCTCTGTTATCCACTTACATCACAGTCTACCTGTATAATGTATGTTATGTTATCCTGTCACACTACAGTCTTATGTATAATGTATGTTATGTTATCCTGTCACACTACAGTCTACTGTTTAATGTCTGCTATGTTATCATGTCACACTACAGTCTACTGTTTAATATCTGCTATGTTATCCTGTCACACTATAGTCTACTGTATAATGTCTGTTATGTTATCCTGTCACACTATAGTGGTAGACTGTAATGTAAGTGGATAACATAGCAGACATTATACAGGAAGAATGTAGTGTAAGTATTTGTGGATTGACAGACTGAAGTTGTAGAGATTATATAAACAGACTATAGTGTAAGTTGATTAACAAAATTATGTGGCATATAATCCACAGATAGATTACAGTGTATGTAGATTGACAGAATCTCTCATGTCCTACAAATTCTGTACATTTTTTTGTATTTGAAGTCTGCAGACTTTTCCTTCAATGTGTGTTTGTATAACTAGAGATGCCACATAATAATTCTCATTAACAAAACAAAAAAGTACAATGAGACAAACTTACAATAGTTTCAGTTGAAAGTATTTATTGATTTATATAATCATTACAGAGTAATTGATGGAGAAAACTTAACAGTGTCTGAAGAACATATGTGGTGTATAGAATTCGTAGATCACTGCCCTCCTACTATAACTGTTTCTTTTGGTCAACCTTTGAGTATTAGTGGTCTTCGAGTGTGGAATTATAATGCATCTTTAGAGGATTCTTACAGAGGTGTAAGTACAAACATTAATATCTTATAATTCTTAGCCTTATAAGTTAGTTTTCTTTAGTTCATCCAATTAGTTTCTGTGATGATACCACACTTCTTCACACTGTTAAGATACATACCATGTGCATCTGCCTTAGAGATACCCCACTTCTTCACACTGTTAAGCTTCCTTCCCTGTGCATCTGCCTCAGAGATATGCCACTTCTTCATACAGCTAAGCTACCTTCCATGTGCATCTGGCTTAGAGATATGCCACGTCTTCACACAGTTAAGCTTACTTCCATGTGCAGATGCCTTAGACCTACTACCAAATTAATTTAATTAGTTTAGAACTCACTATTTGTACATGTATTTACCATAGAATAGTGCTACCGAATTTGTTTATAACACACTACTTGTACACGTCTTTACCATAGAATAGTGCTACCGAATTAGTTTATAACCCACTACTTGTACATGTCTTTACCATAGAATAGTGCTACCGAATTAGTTTAATTAGTTTATAACCCACTGCTTGTACACATCTTTACCATAGAATAGTGCTACCAAATTAGTTTAATTAGTTTATAACCCACTACTTGTACACGTCTGTACCATAGAATAGTGCTACCGAATTAGTTTAATTAGTTTATAACCCACTACTTGTACACGTCTTTACCATAGAATAGTGCAACCGATTTAGTTTAATTAGTTTATAACCCACTACTTGTATACATCTCTACCATAGAATAGTGCAACCGATTTAGTTTAATTAGTTTATAACCCACTACTTGTATACATCTCTACCATAGAATAGTGCTACGGAATTAGTTTATTTAGTTTATAACCCACTACTTGTACACGTCTTTACCATAGAATAGTGCTACCTAATTAGTTTAGAACCCACTACTTTTACACGTCTTTACCATAGAATAGTGCTACTGAATTAGTTTATAACCCACTACTTGTACATGTCTTTACCATAGAATAGTGCAACCGATTTAGTTTAATTAGTTTATAACCCACTACTTGTATACATCTCTACCATAAAATAGTGCTACGGAATTAGTTTATAACCCACTACTTGTACACGTCTTTACCATAGAATAGTGCTACCTAATTAGTTTAGAACCCACTACTTTTACACGTCTTTACCATAGAATAGTGCTACCAAATTAGTTTAGAACCCACTACTTTTACATGTCTTTACCATGGAATAGTGCTACCAAATTAGATTAGAACCCACTACTTTTACATGTCATTACCATGGATTAGTGCTACCGAATTTGTTTATAACCCATTACTTGTGCACGTCTTTACCATAGAATAGTGCTACCGAATTAGTTTAGAACCCACTATTTGTACACGTCTTTACCATGGAATAGTGCTACCTAATTAGTTTAGAACCCACTACTTTTACACGTCTTTACCATGGAATAGTGCTACTGAATTAGTTTATAACCCACTACTTGTACATGTCTTTACCATAGAATAGTGCTACCGAATTAGTTTAGAACCCACTATTTGTACACGTCTTTACCATGGAATAGTGCTACCTAATTAGTTTAGAACCCACTTAAACACATGTACAAGTGGTAGCACTATTCCATGGAAATTAGATTAGAACCCACTACTTTTACATGTCATTACCATGGAATAGTGCTACCGAATTAGTTTATAACCCATTACTTGTGCACGTCTTTACCATAGAATAGTGCTACCGAATTAGTTTAGAACCCACTACTTTTACACATCTTTACCATGGAATAGTGCTACCGAATTAGTTTATAACCCACTACTTTTACACATCTTTACCATAGAATAATGTTACCAAATTAGTTTATAACTCACTACCTGTACACGTCTTTACCATAGAATATTGCTACTGAATTTCTTTATGTAGTTTATAACCCACTACTTGTATGTCTTTACCATAGAATAATGCTATCGAATTAGTTTATAACCCACTACTTCTAAACGTCTTTACCATGGAATAGTGCTACCGAATTAGTTTAGAACCCACTACTTGTACACGTCTTTACCATGGAATAGTGCTACCTAATTAGTTTATAACCCATTACTTGTACACGTCTTTACCATAGAATAGTGCTACCGAATTAGTTTAGAACCCACTATTTGTACACGTCTTTACCATGGAATAGTGCTACCTAATTAGTTTAGAACCCACTACTTTTACACGTCTTTACCATGGAATAGTGCTACCAAATTAGTTTAGAACCCACTACTTTTACACGTCTTTACCATGGAATAGT